TTATTATTATTATTAAATTATTATTATTATTATTAAGATGGAAAGTATCAATAGGTACACAGTGGCTTAGTGGTTAAGATGCCAATTCTGACGATTGGAAGGTTGGCAGTTCGAGGCCCAAGTGCCACATGATGTGGTGAAATTCTGTCACTAGTCCCAGCTTCTGTCAGCCTAGCAGTTCAAAAGTATGCAAATGCAAGTAGATAAATAGGTACACCTTGGTGGGAGGGTAACAGCGTTTCATGCAGTTATGCTGGCCACATGACCATGGGATTGTCTTTGGACGACACTGGTGCTTCGGCTTAGTAATGGAGATGAGCACCTGCCCCCTACATTTGGTTACAACTAGACATTCATGTCAAGGGGAAACCTTTACCTTTACCTTATCAATAGGTATAGGCCTGTAAAGATTAAGCATACTCAGCGGGAAGGGCAAAGAATGTTATGGAGAGAATAATAGAGTGAATGAAATGGACTTCAAAAATGTTGGAAACTGTCTTGGGTTTCAGTAGTTTTGGGAGAAAAGGCATGTTGAAGTAATGGTGGGGGTGGTGATGGTGATGGAATGACGCATGACTGACTCAACAGGAACACTCTCACTGTGACATTTGTTGCAAGTCCTACTTCAGTGCAGAAATGACCAGCAGTAGAGCAGGAGAAGGTAAGAAATCAGGTGGACTAGTGGCTATGCCTGAGACATACATTGATCAGTAGTTGCAGGGTAGGATTTAGTGAGGCTGGAAGAGGTCCTGTTGGTGTTTGGTAATCTATAGAGTTTGAAAGAGTAGGTATATTTTATGATTTGAGAGGTTACAAAACTTTATCAGCTGTATTTGCAGGTTTGTTTTGCTCCCAGAACCTGTTCAATGAAATGACAGCAATGCTATATGAGAGAAACATAGGACCTTCTGCTTTATTCCCAGAAATACCTTACCTCTCACTCCTATATATAAATGTTTTTGTGTTACACCCAGTTGAATGTGCATGCTAAAAACCTTTCTTGTACAGCTTTTGTCTCAGGAATTTTTGTGACATAGGTAAAACCTGTTTCAGCACTGTGTCAAGATGAATGTTACTATTTTCCTAGGAGTAGAAGCAGGTTTTGTGGGTGGTGAACGTAGGCAGCATATAGATCATTGCATCTTGGTAGCATGCTTGTAATCTAAAAATATTCTTATTTCATGGGTTTTCTTCCTGTTACAACTGAAATCTGTGACAGCAGAATTGTCCAGTGCATTGAATAATGGTCCCAGAACTGAGAGACCTGTATTCAGATATCAGATAGCTGTATTCCAACTTGATTTAGTAATATCTATCTTGGTTTCATTTTTCTTTAGCTTGAATAAAGGAATTATGATTTTAAAATGCTGAATATGATTAAAACTGCTTTGCACACTACAGTTGAATATCCCTAAAAATATAAAGAGTGAATTCAGTAAATATGTATTTGCAAGCATTACACATAGGGAAGCCTGGATATGCTTTCATAACCTGTTACATGTAAGCTTGCTGGCAAACTCAAGTTTGCCTCTGGTATGTGAAATGCCCCTTTATTATAAGAATAACTCAGACAAGATAGATTCTGTTGATTGTACATTAAAAGAGCTGAATACATGATATAAAAGTCCTGATCTACATGCTTAGGCAGTGATGTTGAAAAACAAACCTAAAAGGTTCTTAGATCAGTAGTTCCCAAATTTTGGTCCTCCAAGTGTTTTTTACATCAGCTACTAGAATTCCTGACTTTTGGCCAACTTGCTGGAGCTTCTGGGAGCTGAAGTCCAAAACATCTGGAGGACCAAAGTTTGGGGACCACTGAGCTAGACTGATGGCACTTGGCAGACATTAATGACATGGCATACCTATGCTCAAAACCATACGCATTTTTCTAAAGTGCCTTTAAGGTCATAGCTATTTTGCTTAACTTATATCATAGGATTATTTGGTAGGTTAAAACACTACCTTGAACAAGGCAGAATGCAAATGCAGTTAAAAAAAAACTTCTGTTTCCTGTCAAAACATTTCTTAATTAAGGAGTCTGGGCTAATGCAAACAGACATAAGCCTTACGCTTGAGCTCATTTAAACATGTTTGCCAAATTAATTCAATTACCAATTTGATCAGCCTGAGCCTCAAAGGGATTTGTACAAACAGAACCCACAGCAATTTCAGCTGAAAATAGAGCATATGAAGAACATTGAACTAGAAAAAGAATTCCAAAGGGAATTGGATGTTCATCTTTACTGCTGGACTTATGTATTCCAGTACTACTTTCTGAACTCATGTCCTTTTGTGCTGTTTGCACATGTTTTGGTTCTTCCTTCCAGAAGAGCTGAATGCTATGAACATTTCATTATCTCATATGTTGTTAAACTCAAGGTGAGCAAATAATAATAATAATAATAATAATAATAATAGTAATAAAATTTATTTATATCCCGCTTCTTGACAACAATCTAAGACCTCATTTGAATCTGGGTCACAAAATTTGGGATCATTTATGGACAATTAATTGTGAAAAGCTGAGTATTGGGATGGTAATAGAGTTGGAAAATTTCTGGAATGTTGAAACCATGAGAGTAGGAATTTTTCTAGAATTTTTTCCCCAGGAAGAAAATGGATATTGGGGGTAAGGGAGGGAAGTAAATAATGGATGTGTCTACACTGGCCAGGATCCTAGTACTCACCCAGTACTCACCCAGTACTCACCTTGTAGACCCAGGCACATGACGTTTGTGATGGTTTTCAGGCAATGTGAGGCTTTTCGCCAACAATCCGATTCAAAAAACTGCCCTTTACCCTGCCTTTGCCTCGAAAAACTTGACAATCGCTTTTGAGCGTATGTATGCTGATCTCCTCACTATTGAGTGGGTGAGGAGCTACTGAGCCAGCACATATGTGCTGTTCCTCTTCCTTCCCCTTCTGACCCCTCCATCAGCCTTGAGTTGACATTTTTTACTGCAGTGAATGTATATGTGCAGATCTCTGCACGGGTGAGTGAATGAGCCAGTGAGTGCACGTTCCCTTCTTTTTCATTCCCTCCATCTGGCTCCCTTCCCATCTAATGTGTGGCTGATGGGGGGGATTGAACTGGCAAAAGAGGAGGGAGGGCATATGCTCAATCACTCACTCATTTGTGTAAAGATCTGCATACATACATTCACTCAAGTTAAAATGTCACCACAAGGCTGATTGGGAGGGTCAGTGGGGAAAGGAAGAAGGATGGCACATGCTCACTTGCTCACTCAGGTGGGGGGGAGGAAAATGGAGAGGGTAGCCCAGTCTATGTCCTCACTGTTGATCTCATGACTCAACATTCATAAATAAAATATAAATAGTTATTTTTTTCTGTCTTGTTTATTTGAAGGTGTGTGCACATTCAAAGTTCCCTCCTTTACTAGGGTGTGAAGGGGAAAAGGGAATTGGATGTGGGAGACATCCAGTCAAAGCCGATCCAATAGATTGACAGGCAAACAATTGCTGTTGGTTGATAGGTTGATTCATGCTGGGAAAGGGGTGGGGGAGCAGGAGGAGACATGGCAGTGTGGCTGAAGATAATGCAAATGAATGGAGATGTGTACCTCACCCTTGCACTGAAGTACCTTCGCCACAGGAAATGTGTGGCCGGTTATGATATCTCTTCAATGTGTCTCCGCATGTGTGATATTAACAGGGTTACTGTGAAGTCATTGTGGGGTCACTTCAGACCAGGTAAATGCAAAGTGAAGCTGGATTCTTTTCATCAGTGCATACATCCCCATAATGTGGTACCTATTTTTTATCCTCTTCCAGATCAAAACTGGAACTTTTCCAGATCAAAACATGAGGCATGCCCCAAAGTGCTCACACTGTGCTCCAGTCCTTTGAAATGGAGCAAAAAAGCCAGGATAATCTGGCTTCTGGGGTTGGGTCCTGCAGCAGCGGCCCACTTTGTGAATGGGCCGTGTGGTTGCTGTGGTCCTGGCCCTCTTACGGCTCGAATGGCTTCATGCCACTCCTTCCCACTCGTCTGCTCCAGTCAGTTGCTACCATGCTTCTGTTGTTGTGTACCTTCAAGTCATTTCTGATTTACGGTGACCCTAAGGCAGGGGTAGGCAACCTTTCCCCTTTAAGGGCCGAGGGACTTCAGCTCCCAGAATCCCAGGAGCTATTGGCCAACATGGGACTATTGGCCAACATGGCTGAGGCTTCTGGGAGCTGAAGTCCCTTGGCCCTTAAAAGGGAAAGGTTGCCTACCCCTGCCGTAAGGTGACCTTATTGCAGGGGGTTTTTTTGGGGGGGGGTTTTTTTTTTGGCAACCAGAGGGGTTTGCCTTTGCTTTCCTCTGATGCTGACCAAGGTTACCCAGTGGGTTTTCATGGCTGACTAGGGATTTGAACCCTGGTCTCCAGAACCACAGTCCAAAGCTCAACCCATTAAACCATTACACCAAAATTGCTCTCACTGCCTCTATGTTGCAGGATGGATATGCAATCCCAGACTGCAATGTCAAGATGTTCATTGTTCAACAGTATTTTAAAGATTCCTTTCAAACTTCAGGCTCCAAGTTTGCTTTGAACTCATTTTACAGGAGTCGCAGGAAGCATATATGAACACTTTATGCATAATTTTAAAATAAAAAATATTTCTTAGTCCAGCATTCCATAGAAAATGTTTTCCTCCATTTGCATATTTCTGTTCAACTCCCCTTGCCTTTCACATACTAGAGCAATGGTCCCCAAACTTTTTCAGGCTACCGCCCCCTTTCCTCTTCAGTGACAATCCTAGTGCCCCCCCCCATGTCTATTTCTTGGTATTAGGTCCACTGTTCTACTGGGGGGAGAAGAGAGAAAGTATCTTAACCAAGGGAAGTGGCTGCTTTTGGATGATTTTGCAAATGAAGTAGATGAAATCCTGCTTGCCATGCAATCCCACTGGATGACCCTGGGCAAGTCACACTCCCAACCACAGGGGAAGGCAATGGCAAACCCCCTCTGAATAATTTTTTTCAAGAAAACTCCATGATAGGTTCTCCTTAGGATCACCATCAGTCAAAACAACTTGAAGGCACACAACAATTGCTGCTAGCGAGCCCAAGTTCAAAAGTTTGTATTTGGGGGAAGGAAGGTGAGGCTGGGGAGTGGCTTGGGAAAGTGAAAGAGGGAGGGCCCCTCTATGAAAGGAACAACGTCCGAATGAGGGCGGGCACACAGGCAGGCAAGCTCAGCAGGATTTTCACCTGAGGAAGGAAGGGTTGTGTGGCTCCCTGGGTAGCCTGTGCCAAGAAATGTTCCTGTAGCTGCCCTCCTCCTATCTTCTCCTGGCATACTGAGGGAGAGGGGAATAAAAAAAGAGGATGGGTATGGGTTGTGTATTTTATATGTATTTTATATGATGTAATTTTTATCATTTGTAAGCTGCCTTGATTGGCTCCAGAGAGGCGGGGTATTAAATAAATTATTATTATTATTATTATTATTATTATT